ACACCAGTTTCATTTGGGGGTGTGTGTGTGTGTGTGTGTGTGTGTGTAAGTTTTAAGCTTTCACAGATATCACTAATCAGGACATAATTCAAAGACTTGAATTAGATCCAAAACTCAAATCAGAAATCTTAAATACCCAATTTAAATATATGGTCATAAGAAAATTAAAAAACTATGGCATTTAAAATAAGCCTGGAAGCAGGAGTTGCATCCACTTCCGAAACGGCTTGCCTCCAGAAACTCTATGAACAGTGCTCAAGCCTTTCGTTCATAGGGTTGCTATGAGTCATCTACGACTCGATGGCACCTAACAACATGGCATTTAAAAAGACGTTCTCACACCTTAATAATAAGAAAGATGAAAAATTAAACCCAGTAATCACCCTGGGTGGCTGTTGTAGTTTTCTGTGAGTAGACACAGAATCTGATAATGTATTTATCACTTGAAATTAGGGACTAGACTCCTGAAAATAAGGAAGTCACTTGGCACAGCAAATACATAGGATTTACTGTGTCCTATCCAAGTCACTAAGAAGACCCAGGTTCTGGTCATAAGTAACCTCAATACATACTCTTCTCTATTGGGTACATTATCTCAGTTCAATGGGCTGATTATAGTCTTCTGCAATGGATATGTAGGTTTTAACCCTCAAAAAATTAATTCACTTAAAACCACTGCATTAACCGTTGGTTGTTTAGAGGAATGCAAACATACTCAGTATTTTTACATACTTTCAATGTTTAATGTTATAACTTCAGACATGTGACACAATATTGGAACCATCTAATATTGGAATTTTACCACATTTTGAAGCTGAATCTATTAATCTTACAAGGATTATTATAGTCCTAAAGTTTTCATATTTCTGCAACTTGAAAAAGATATCTAGAAAATGTATAAACAATTTTAAAATATTTGAAGATCATTCATTAACTTGGTCATAAATAGGACCAACTGCTATTCAAAAGCCCCATAAAGGAGTGCTTTGCTTATTCGGGGCTTTTTCCCATTCCATACGAAATTGGAGATTGCCTTTTCCATCTCGTTGAAGAATGGGATTGGTATCTGTATTG